GTTCGGATCCTAGTGCTCAAATTGGTGAAGGAAGATTAAGTGCACTTGATATTATTAATCTTCCACAAGACCCCGGAAAAAGAAGAAGGATGTGTGATTTTCATCCCGATGATAGGGATTTAGTTCGGAGAACATACATTCAAAGAAAGCCATGTCAACCTAAAGATCATGTGTTTCCTCAAACACTTTTTGGGCCGAATAAAAAACGCCGATTTTGTGTTAAATGGTTTGATACTTGGCCAACATGGCTTGAGTATAGTGTTGAGAAAGATGATGCCTTTTGTTTCATTTGCTATCTGTTTAAGGATGGTAACACAGCGGGAGTGGATGCTTTTGTTAATGGAGGTTTCAGATCTTGGAATAGAAGAGACAAAATTGTAAAGCATGTTGGTGGACACAAGAGTGCTCACAATAATGCCGTGATTGCTATGAACTTTTTCATGAATCAAATGAGTAGCATTGCCACCGCTTTATCATAACAAACAGCGGAAACCATGAGTGCCTATCGTAAGAGATTGGAAGCTTCAATCGAAACCATTAGATGGCTATTGTTCCAAGGGTTGCCTTTTCGTGGTCATGATGAAAAGGAAAGTTCATTATCTAGAGGTAACTTTCTTTCGTTATTAACTCTTCTTTCAAACCATGATCCTGAGTATTCCAAAGTTTTTTTTAAAATGGCCCCTGGTAATTGTCAACTTACTTCTCCAAGTGTCCAAAAAGATATAATCAATGCTTGTGCTAAAGAAACAACTAAAGCAATATTAGAAGAACTTGATGGTGGATTTTTTGCTATTCTTGCTGATGAATCTGCCGATGTTTCCAATAAGGAACAAATGGCACTTTGTTTGAGATTTGTTAATAAAAAGGGGGAAGTGTGTGAGCGTTTTCTTGGTATTGTGCATGTTCCTGATACTAGTTCTTTGACTCTCAAAGCTGCTATTGAGTCATTACTCATGGAACACTCTTTAACTTTCTCTCAAGTTCGAGGTCAAGGTTATGATGGGGCAAGTAATATGCAAGGTTCAATCAATGGCCTTAAAACTCTAATATTGAATGAATGTTCTCAAGCATACTTTGTTCATTTCTTCGCTCATCAACTTCAATTGACACAAGTTGCACTTGCTAAGAAAAACTCAGATTGTGGTTGGCTTTTTGTTGACGTACTTGCACCTCTCTTGAACTTTGTGGGAGGTTCACCTAAGAGGAAAGAATTTCTTCGAGAAAAACAATGTCAAGGGGTTGTAGAAGCATTATCTTTGGGTGAAATTGAATCGGGAACTGGTTTAAATCAAGAACGTGGCTTATGTAGACCTTGTGATACTCGTTGGGGATCTCACTTTAAAACCATTTTGAATGTGCTTGATTTATATCCTTCAATACTTTTGTCACTTGATTCCATTGCAGAAGTATCTGATACACTTGATTCGAATAAAGCACAATCTATTACACACTTGTTGATGTCATTTGATTTTGTGTTTGTGGCACACTTGATGGTTGATATATTTGGCATTACAAATGCGTTGAATGTGGCATTGCAAAAACATGATCAAGATATTGTAAATGCAATGGTCATGGTTGATGTAACCAAGACTAGTTTGCAAAAGTTGAGAGATGAAGGATGGGATTCACATATGGAAAAAGTCACTTCTTTTATGGCTAAATATGACATTGAGGTTCCAAACATGGAGGGGCGATATGTGGTTCCTGGGAGAAGAATGTATAGAGGTAAAGGTCCACATGTGACTAATCTTCATCATTTTAGAGTTGAAGTTTTTCTAAGTGTCATTGATCTTCAATTACAAGAACTTGAAAATCGATTTCCCGAGGTAAGTAAGGAATTACTTGTGTGTATGTCTTGCTTTAATCCTGCAAATCGGTTTCATTCTTTTGACAAAAGAAAGTTAGTTCAACTTGCTAAATTTTATCCCGGTGAATTTTCAAGCTCTGAGTTATTATTTTTTGAACATTCACTTGAAAATTCCATTGTTGATGTTCGAAATGATGAGAGATTTTGGAATTTGAAAAGTCTAAGTGAACTTTCTACGAAACTTGTTGAGACGGGAAAGTTTGAAACTCATGACCGAGTCTACTTACTTTTGAAGTTAGTGTTGATTCTTCCCGTTGCAACGGCAAGTGTAGAAAGAGTATTTTCTGGAATGACGCAAGTTAAAGATAAATTGCGTAATAGCATGGGAGATCAAATGTTGAATGATTGTTTGATTACTTATCTAGAAAGAGATTTGTTTTACAATGTTAGCATGGATGATATTATACATCGTTATCAAAATATGAAAACTCGTCGAGAGAAATTGTAATAAAATTAGTACTTTTTTAGTTGTAATATGAATTTGAATTACTTTATGAAATGAACTTTTTATGTATTTTTTTTTTGTCCATCATTCAAGCTTTGACTATTTTTTGATATTTTATGCGGTCGGTGGACGATGATGGGATGGGACAACCTATTATTTAAATCCTGAATCCGCCACTGTTGGGCCTTATCAGCTTTGATGCTTTATTTTTGAATTTTTTGATTTTTTGATTTTATTTTATTTTTATCTTATGCTGTTTATCAGCATGTACCCTTTTTTGTAATGATGCCTGTCAGAATGTATATTTCTACTTTGATTAGTACTTTGCAACTTTGATTATGCTTACCATTATCATTGCTTATGTCATAAAAATGATGCTTCATAACAACTTATGTCATAAAAATGATGCTTTATAACAAGAGCGTTTTGCATTTGACCATGTGTACAATCTGCTCCCCCTTAGTGAGTGTACCTGCATAGCTGGTGCATTCACTACAGATTTAACACGTTAATAGCTGCATTTCCATTTCCGTTTTCAGCTTTTGAAATAGCCTTTTTATTCGAATATTTTATGGTGATTTTTTTTTGTAATCTGTTTTGGCGAGTGTGGATTACTATATCTGTCGTTTAAATGGTGGGCTACATTACCTTGATAGATTATTATATAGGCTAAATTAGAAAAAAAAAAAACACCTGTTAAAAGACCTAATTTTGTTTTTAACACCTTAAGATTTCGAAGTTTAATTATAACACCTGTTAAAAAATAAAAATTTTGCTTTCACCACCTAAATTGGAACAACGTTAGAGGATCTGTTAGCTGGGCCCACAATAACGGCTATTTTTTCCAAACTGCTTTATATAGTTACGACATCCTTCACTAATGTAGAATTGTTGAGCTGATTACACAAAATTGCTTCACATTTTGCGAATTCTGACTAACAAATTGGCGAAATTGTTTGATTTTACCATCATTGTTTGGGGGACGTAGATATCAAATCAGGTAATTTTGTCAATAGCACTTTAGAAACCCTAATTTATCTTTCAAAAATAAGGCGTAAATTAATCTATATGTTGTTGACTTAAATGCATAATTCAGGTCGTATCTGGCAATAGTCATGTAATTCGTAAATAGTTAGGGTTCATTGTGTGTTAATTGTGCTGTAATTTGCGAGAAAATGAAATTAGGGTTCATTGTAGAAATAATTTGGGGGTTTTGATTTGTAGGAGTGATTGTTTAATTCCCTTGGTTCAATTGTAATTTTTTCATAGTACGAATGGTTTTGCTTATTATGGATGGCAAATTGGTGCAGGAAATGTCTTCTACAAGTTTCTCACCTTCAAAGGAGAAGAAGTGAAAATGTGGTGTTCCCTTTGCAAAGCTTACCAGTTGGACAAGGGAAAACCCTGGTCGTAAGTTCAGAACATGCAAGTTCTACAATCCTGTAACTGAGAGCAGAGGTTGTAAAGCATTTGAATGGGTGGATGAACAAGATGGGACAGCCTGGCAAACAGAGGTGATCAACAATTTGTTGTTAGATAAGAAACTGTTGAAGGGGGAAATTAGTGATTACAAGAGGGAAGTTGATTATCTTGGTGGACAGTTGAGGTGTTTGCTGAATGAAGTGGACAGGCTGAAAATGAAATGCAAGGCTTTAAACTCTGACAGGAACAAGATGAACAGAGAGATGCATGGAAGGAATGCTAGATCAGATCACTCTGTTCTTAGTCTTGCTGTTGGGATTAGTTTGGTCATATTAGTGATCCTTCTTATTAGGGGGTTTGTAATGCATTAAGTATAACTTGTAATGCTAGTAATTGCATGAAACATTAATATGGTAATGTAATGATTTATAAGTGGCAGTACCTAAGTAGTTGATATTGCATTTAAGTTGTTGATCAAATTTGTTGTTGCAGTGCCTAACAAAATTGGCTGGTAAATCCTTAAAGCAAAGTATTAATTTAACAAAACAGGATCCTTGTCCTAAACCCAAAAGTAAAGCTACAAATATTGCAACTGATTGTTCAGAAAATACAACCAACAACTAAAGTTCAGAAAAACAATTCAAACATCATTGTGTCAGCCCTCCTTGTCTGGAAGTCAGCAGCTTAGCCCTCCTTGTCTGCACTCCAGTAGCATTGGGTTCAGGTTGGCTGGAAGAGGGGGTGGTGTGATGCTTGGCTTATGGCTGCCCTTGTTGACTGTGTGAACCTTTCCTCTTACTCAATGGTTCACAGCCAGGTTGCTCTTGGGGAAAAGTCCTATTCCCAATGCTGTTTGGACCAGCCCCTATTGCACTCTGTTTATTAAACACAAATACCAATAAACAAGTATCAACATCCAATTTCATCACAAATTTTAAAAGAAAAGTTACAAATCCAACAGCATACCTTCTTAGCAGCTTTGATCTCCCTCTTCTTCCTTTGCTCAACTACCCAAGGTGAATTTAAAGGAGGCCTTCCTGCAGTTCTCTGCTCAGTTGGTTCAGGTTCATGTGTGCCCTTGCAAGTCTTGGGATAGTGGCCAAATCCACAACAAATCCTACACTAACTTTTCCTCCTCTTTCTTCCCTGCTCCCATCCTGTTGCAGATGTTCCCTCCCCAGGTTCCAGCTTCCTCTTCTTCTGTTTAGGTCTTCCAGGCTGCTGTTTGAATGCTGGTGAATGAGGCTCTCTCATGTTCACTCTCTCCTAATGCTTTGGGCCTGGCATAGGTTGAATTGCAGGCTCATATGCTGCTCTGTAAGTGTCCATAGTGTAATAGGGGTGGACAAACTGCTCAGCATCAACCCTCTGATCCATTATGCATGCAAATGCATGAATACATGGGATGCCTGTTAATTACCAGTGATTGCAGGAACAAGACCAATTTGGCAAGTCAACTAGAACCTGGTCATCATTCAGCTGCACTTCATAAGTGTCATCCCTGGCAGCTTCAATTATGCAATTCCTAGCCACATAGCTCATCCTCTGAAATAGCTTATGCACATATGGAGTGATGTTGGTTGTGATTTCCTTGGAGTCCTCCCACTTCTCATTATTTCTCGTCATCATGTACCTCCTCATCCATTCCATTTGGGTGAGGATAGGTTTGTCTCTTGCATCTCTGATAACAGAGTTGAAAGTCTCACACATGTTGTTTAGTAACATGTTGGACCTGCAACTGTCACTGAATGCATGTCTGCACCAGTGATGAGTGGGGATGTTCTCCAAATAATTGTAAGCATCCTCATCAAGCTCCCTAATCTGTTGCATGGCTATCTGAAACTCAACCTACAACCACAACAGGAACATTATCATGAAAGAATAACATACACAACTGTTGTTGCTCTTATTTTGCTTTTATACACAACAGGAACATTATTACATGAAGTAGGTACATGAACAGGAACAATATCATGCATTTACTTATTCAAAATAATTTAAGGTCACCTAGAGACTTACAAATGTTGTTGCTCTTGCAGCACTCCAAAAGAGCTCTTTGAAAACTGATCCAGTGAACTTCAACTTGAAATTTGCCCAAATGTGCCTAACACAGAACCTAGTCTCTGCATTAGGCACAACTTCAGACAGAGCTTCAACCAGTCCCTGTTTAACATCATCAATAATTACTTGTCACACTTCAAACAATAAAGAACAGGACAGAAAATAAGACTACAATAATCAAAACAATATTACCTTCTGCCTGTCTGACATGAAGGTGAAGCCTGCCCCATATGCACTTCCAATGCATTGCATCAAGGATTCCAGAAACCAGACCCAAGTCTCCCTGTTTTCAACCTCACAAGTTGCCCAAGAAATGGGGTAAATGCTGTTGTTCCCATCCTTGGAGACTCCAACTAAAATCTGGCTTGGATAACCTCCTTTCAAGTGGCAGCCATCCACCCCTATAATTGGCCTACAACCCTTCAAGAACCCATCCTTCAAAGGCCTTAAACAAATAAACATCCTCATAAACAAGGGAGGCTCAGGCTTTTCAATGCCATCAATCACAACATTACAACTAGACCCAGGGTTGTATTTCATTACAGCCTTCCCATAATCCCATACCCTAGCATATTGCTCTCTTGTTGAACCAAAAATGTTCAACTTAGCTCTACATCTTGCCATCTAAGCCCTGTAGTAGGTCACTTCTACCCCCAAGTCATGAAGCACCCTATCCTTGATTTGCTTAACCTTCCATGATGGGTTAGTTCTGAACTCCTCAAGATACCTCTCAGCAATGAACTCTGTTGTGACCTTCTTGTTCTCCCTGCTTCTCACACATTTATGCTCCAACTTCATGGTTTTTATTTGCCAAGTCTGTTGTCTTTTTAACTTAGTAGCATGGATCTTGAAACTACACTTCACTCCACCCCTGCATATACACAAAGGCATCCTACTTGTCTTTGTGTCAAACTTGCACCCACACCTATTCCTACACTGAATAGTAATCCTAGTACTATCATTGTGTAAAAAATAGTACTCATACCTATTCTGTATGGCATGCACTCTTAAAGCTTTCCTCAACACTGTAGCATTGCTAAACCTAAGCCTATGAACAAGTACAACAGGCTTTGAGAAGTCAGATTTGTCATTAAACCATGGACTTTTTTCCTCTTCATCAGATGAACCATCCAAGCTCCTTAGGTCATCTGATTCTCCCTCAATTTCTTCTTGTAGTTGTACCTCATTCACATCCAAGTTATCTGTCAACCTTGCCTTTGGATCCTTGGAAACCCCCTCATCATGTACATCAAACTGCTTCCCAAGACTTCTTGTTACCTTAGCTAAAATTTCTTCAGAATTCTGCACAAACCACCTCTCATCCCCACTGTCATACTCCTCCTCTCCAGGCTCCCAAGTTATGTCAATCTCACTCCCATCACTTGAAGAAAAATCATCTTCCCTCCCAGTCTCACTGCCCTCACTACTATCCTCAAAAATCAATCATTTGCCTACAGATTTTTTTTTCCCTTTCCCTTATCCAACACCTTCACACTGCCAGAACCCCTTTCAAGCTTAGCTTTACCCTTTTGTTTCGCCTTACTCAACAACTTCCCTTTACCAGGAACCCCCTTAATCTCAGCAGAAACCCCTTCAACCCTTTCTATCCCCTGTCTAGATATAGGTTTAGGAGATTCTTCACCCTCCCTCACCTTAGGTTCATTTTTGTTAATTCTTGGGCTCTTCCTAACTAAAGCAGGCTTACCTGAACTTTTCTTCCCCTTTCTCTCAGCCTTTACTGGAGTGGACTGGGCCTGGATCTCATGTATGGGCCTTAATGTTTCATTAGCAGTCACAAATACTTCAACATACCCTTCCCCATTCACTGTCTCCAGCAGCCCCTTCACTTCCTCTTCATTTACTAACTCCCTTCTCCCTGTGTTAAAGGTCCTACCTCTTTCTTTATACCAAAGTCTGTAGTTAGGTGGGACATGGACATTAAAGTTCACAAACCCATGCACAGCAGCTACCCTCAAATAATGCAAATCTATCTTATCCACTACCACATCCCTCCTCCAATAACATAACCCACCACACCAACAAAGCAAATGCTTTGATTTTGACACTTGTTTAGTAACAAAAGCACCCCCTACTCTAAATACTATATCAATTAATCCATCTTCGTTGTCGGCCATTTTTCTACCTAATAAACAAATGCAAAGCAAATCAATAAAACCCAACATAGCTAACCCCATTACACAGTCAACCGCAATACTTTAATCAATAAAATCAAACATATTTAAACCAACACAATGACAAACCAGTCAACAGTCAATAAAATCAATGATTTAAACTAAATAATTCACAGATTACACCAAATCATACTTAATTTAATCAAATTCAACTTTAATTACAAATTAACCCATTTTACTGTTCTTAGGGTTCCTAATTTTTTTTTCCCAAATTACCCTACTACACCCACACAAATGGCATAATGCAGCACACAGTACTTGTTGAAAACTACTTTAAAGGGTTCGAAAGGTACCTGTATTGGAATCTTACTCCTGTTGCTGTCAGAATCCACGAAAAAGTCCAAGCTTTTTGGATGTTGGAAATGGCTGACGGAATCTCGCTGACTTGTTTCGCTCCAATATTGACACCTCCTCTTCCAACTCAATTTCTCAATCACAACAATCAGTATAGGGTTTGAATGTTCGCAGTAATTTTGGTTGTTCAAGATTTGCAGACGAAATTCAATGAAGCAAAATTAGTTGGGCGGTAATAAATGATAGAGAAGATAAATTCGAATTGAAGGGGATGGAATTTGGAGGGTAAACGACTATGTGGGCCCCACCAAAAAATTCCGTCACAGTTTCTGTTATCTGGTTTGACACAAGTTGCACTTGCTAAGAAAAACTCAGATTGTGGTTGGCTTTTTGTTGACGTACTTGCACCTCTCTTGAACTTTGTGGGAGGTTCACCTAAGAGGAAAGAATTTCTTCGAGAAAAACAATGTCAAGGGGTTGTAGAAGCATTATCTTTGGGTGAAATCTAATCGGGAACTGGTTTAAATCAAGAACGTGGCTTATGTAGACCTTGTGATACTCGTTGGGGATCTCACTTTAAAACCATTTTGAATGTGCTTGATTTATATCCTTCAATACTTTTGTCACTTGATTCCATTGCAGAAGTATCTGATACACTTGATTCGAATAAAGCACAATCTATTACACACTTGTTGATGTCATTTGATTTTGTGTTTGTGGCACACTTGATGGTTGATATATTTGGCATTACAAATGCGTTGAATGTGGCATTGCAAAAACATGATCAAGATATTGTAAATGCAATGGTCATGGTTGATGTAACCAAGACTAGTTTGCAAAAGTTGAGAGATGAAGGATGGGATTCACATATGGAAAAAGTCACTTCTTTTATGGCTAAATATGACATTGAGGTTCCAAACATGGAGGGGCGATATGTGGTTCCTGGGAGAAGAATGTATAGAGGTAAAGGTCCACATGTGACTAATCTTCATCATTTTAGAGTTGAAGTTTTTCTAAGTGTCATTGATCTTCAATTACAAGAACTTGAAAATCGATTTCCCGAGGTAAGTAAGGAATTACTTGTGTGTATGTCTTGCTTTAATCCTGCAAATCGGTTTCATTCTTTTGACAAAAGAAAGTTAGTTCAACTTGCTAAATTTTATCCCGGTGAATTTTCAAGCTCTGAGTTATTATTTTTTGAACATTCACTTGAAAATTCCATTGTTGATGTTCGAAATGATGAGAGATTTTGGAATTTGAAAAGTATAAGTGAACTTTCTACGAAACTTGTTGAGACGGGAAAGTTTGAAACTCATGACCGAGTCTACTTACTTTTGAAGTTAGTGTTGATTCTTCCCGTTGCAACGGCAAGTGTAGAAAGAGTATTTTCTGGAATGACGCAAGTTAAAGATAAATTGCGTAATAGCATGGGAGATCAAATGTTGAATGATTGTTTGATTACTTATCTAGAAAGAGATTTGTTTTACAATGTTAGCATGGATGATATTATACATCGTTATCAAAATATGAAAACTCGTCGAGAGCAATTGTAATAAAATTAGTACTTTTTTAGTTGTAATATGAATTTGAATTACTTTATGAAATGAACTTTTTATGTATTTTTTTTTTGTCCATCATTCAAGCTTTGACTATTTTTTGATATTTTATGCGGTCGGTGGACGATGATGGGATGGGACAACCTATTATTTAAATCCTGAATCCGCCACTGTTGGGCCTTATCAGCTTTGATGCTTTATTTTTGAATTTTTTGATTTTTTGATTTTATTTTATTTTTATCTTATGCTGTTTATCAGCATGTACCCTTTTTTGTGATGATGCCTGTCAGAATGTATATTTCTACTTTGATTAGTACTTTGCAACTTTGATTATGCTTACCATTATCATTGCTTATGTCATAAAAATGATGCTTCATAACAACTTATGTCATAAAAATGATGCTTTATAACAAGAGCGTTTTGCATTTGACCATGTGTACAATCTGCTCCCCCTTAGTGAGTGTACCTGCATAGCTGGTGCATTCACTACAGATTTAACACGTTAATAGCTGCATTTCCATTTCCGTTTTCAGCTTTTGAAATAGCCTTTTTATTCGAATATTTTATGGTGATTTTTTTTTGTAATCTGTTTTGGCGAGTGTGGATTACTATATCTGTCGTTTAAATGGTGGGCTACATTACCTTGATAGATTATTATATAGGCTAAATTAGAAAAAAAAAAACACCTGTTAAAAGACCTAATTTTGTTTTTAACACCTTAAGATTTCGAAGTTTAATTATAACACCTGTTAAAAAATAAAAATTTTGCTTTCACCACCTAAATTGGAACAACGTTAGAGGATCTGTTAGCTGGGCCCACAATAACGGCTATTTTTTCCAAATTGCTTTATATAGTTACGACATCCTTCACTAATGTAGAATTGTTGAGCTGATTACACAAAATTGCTTCACATTTTGCGAATTCTGACTAACAAATTGGCGAAATTGTTTGATTTTACCATCATTGTTTGGGGGACGTAGATATCAAATCAGGTAATTTTGTCAATAGCACTTTAGAAACCCTAATTTATCTTTCAAAAATAAGGCGTAAATTAATCTATATGTTGTTGACTTAAATGCATAATTCAGGTCGTATCTGGCAATAGTCATGTAATTCGTAAATAGTTAGGGTTCATTGTGTGTTAATTGTGCTGTAATTTGCGAGAAAATGAAATTAGGGTTCATTGTAGAAATAATTTGGGGGTTTTGATTTGTAGGAGTGATTGTTTAATTCCCTTGGTTCAATTGTAATTTTTTCATAGTACGAATGGTTTTGCTTATTATGGATGGCAAATTGGTGCAGGAAATGTCTTCTACAAGTTTCTCACCTTCAAAGGAGAAGAAGTGAAAATGTGGTGTTCCCTTTGCAAAGCTTACCAGTTGGACAAGGGAAAACCCTGGTCGTAAGTTCAGAACATGCAAGTTCTACGATCCTGTAACTGAGAGCAGAGGTTGTAAAGCATTTGAATGGGTGGATGAACAAGATGGGACAGCCTGGCAAACAGAGGTGATCAACAATTTGTTGTTAGATAAGAAACTGTTGAAGGGGGAAATTAGTGATTACAAGAGGGAAGTTGATGATCTTGGTGGACAGTTGAGGTGTTTGCTGAATGAAGTGGACAGGCTGAAAATGAAATGCAAGGCTTTAAACTCTGACAGGAACAAGATGAACAGAGAGATGCATGGAAGGAATGCTAGATCAGATCACTCTATTCTTAGTCTTGCTGTTGGGATTAGTTTGGTCATATTAGTGATCCTTCTTATTAGGGGGTTTGTAATGCATTAAGTATAACTTGTAATGCTAGTAATTGCATGAAACATTAATATGGTAATGTAATGATTTATAAGTGGCAGTACCTAAGTAGTTGATATTGCATTTAAGTTGTTGATCAAATTTGTTGTTGCAGTGCCTAACAAAATTGGCTGGTAAATCCTTAAAGCAAAGTATTAATTTAACAAAACAGGATCCTTGTCCTAAACCCAAAAGTAAAGCTACAAATATTGCAACTGATTGTTCAGAAAATACAACCAACAACTAAAGTTCAGAAAAACAATTCAAACATCATTGTGTCAGCCCTCCTTGTCTGGAAGTCAGCAGCTTAGCCCTCCTTGTCTGCACTCCAGTAGCATTGGGTTCAGGTTGGCTGGAAGAGGGGGTGGTGTGATGCTTGGCTTATGGCTGCCCTTGTTGACTGTGTGAACCTTTCCTCTTACTCAATGGTTCACAGCCAGGTTGCTCTTGGGGAAAAGTCCTATTCCCAATGCTGTTTGGACCAGCCCCTATTGCACTCTGTTTATTAAACACAAATACCAATAAACAAGTATCAACATCCAATTTCATCACAAATTTTAAAAGAAAAGTTACAAATCCAACAGCATACCTTCTTAGCAGCTTTGATCTCCCTCTTCTTCCTTTGCTCAACTACCCAAGGTGAATTTAAAGGAGGCCTTCCTGCAGTTCTCTGCTCAGTTGGTTCAGGTTCATGTGTGCCCTTGCAAGTCTTGGGATAGTGGCCAAATCCACAACAAATCCTACACTAACTTTTCCTCCTCTTTCTTCCCTGCTCCCATCCTGTTGCAGATGTTCCCTCCCCAGGTTCCAGCTTCCTCTTCTTCTGTTTAGGTCTTCCAGGCTGCTGTTTGAATGCTGGTGAATGAGGCTCTCTCATGTTCACTCTCTCCTAATGCTTTGGGCCTGGCATAGGTTGAATTGCAGGCTCATATGCTGCTCTGTAAGTGTCCATAGTGTAATAGGGGTGGACAAACTGCTCAGCATCAACCCTCTGATCCATTATGCATGCAAATGCATGAATACATGGGATGCCTGTTAATTACCAGTGATTGCAGGAACAAGACCAATTTGGCAAGTCAACTAGAACCTGGTCATCATTCAGCTGCACTTCATAAGTGTCATCCCTGGCAGCTTCAATTATGCAATTCCTAGCCACATAGCTCATCCTCTGAAATAGCTTATGCACATATGGAGTGATGTTGGTTGTGATTTCCTTGGAGTCCTCCCACTTCTCATTATTTCTCCTCATCATGTACCTCCTCATCCATTCCATTTGGGTGAGGATAGGTTTGTCTCTTGCATCTCTGATAACAGAGTTGAAAGTCTCACACATGTTGTTTAGTAACATGTTGGACCTGCAACTGTCACTGAATGCATGTCTGCACCAGTGATGAGTGGGGATGTTCTCCAAATAATTGTAAGCATCCTCATCAAGCTCCCTAATCTGTTGCATGGCTATCTGAAACTCAACCTACAACCACAACAGGAACATTATCATGAAAGAATAACATACACAACTGTTGTTGCTCTTATTTTGCTTTTATACACAACAGGAACATTATTACATGAAGTAGGTACATGAACAGGAACAATATCATGCATTTACTTATTCAAAATAATTTAAGGTCACCTAGAGACTTACAAATGTTGTTGCTCTTGCAGCACTCCAAAAGAGCTCTTTGAAAACTGATCCAGTGAACTTCAACTTGAAATTTGCCCAAATGTGCCTAACACAGAACCTAGTCTCTGCATTAGGCACAACTTCAGACAGAGCTTCAACCAGTCCCTGTTTAACATCATCAATAATTACTTGTCACACTTCAAACAATAAAGAACAGGACAGAAAATAAGACTACAATAATCAAAACAATATTACCTTCTGCCTGTCTGACATGAAGGTGAAGCCTGCCCCATATGCACTTCCAATGCATTGCATCAAGGATTCCAGAAACCAGACCCAAGTCTCCCTGTTTTCAACCTCACAAGTTGCCCAAGAAATGGGGTAAATGCTGTTGTTCCCATCCTTGGAGACTCCAACTAAAATCTGGCTTGGATAACCTCCTTTCAAGTGGCAGCCATCCACCCCTATAATTGGCCTACAACCCTTCAAGAACCCATCCTTCAAAGGCCTTAAACAAATAAACATCCTCATAAACAAGGGAGGCTCAGGCTTTTCAATGCCATCAATCACAACATTACAACTAGACCCAGGGTTGTATTTCATTACAGCCTTCCCATAATCCCATACCCTAGCATATTGCTCTCTTGTTGAACCAAAAATGTTCAACTTAGCTCTACATCTTGCCATCTAAGCCCTGTAGTAGGTCACTTCTACCCCCAAGTCATGAAGCACCCTATCCTTGATTTGCTTAACCTTCCATGATGGGTTAGTTCTGAACTCCTCAAGATACCTCTCAGCAATGAACTCTGTTGTGACCTTCTTGTTCTCCCTGCTTCTCACACATTTATGCTCCAACTTCATGGTTTTTATTTGCCAAGTCTGTTGTCTTTTTAACTTAGTAGCATGGATCTTGAAACTACACTTCACTCCACCCCTGCATATACACAAAGGCATCCTACTTGTCTTTGTGTCAAACTTGCACCCACACCTATTCCTACACTGAATAGTAATCCTAGTACTATCATTGTGTAAAAAATAGTACTCATACCTATTCTGTATGGCATGCACTCTTAAAGCTTTCCTCAACACTGTAGCATTGCTAAACCTAAGCCTATGAACAAGTACAACAGGCTTTGAGAAGTCAGATTTGTCATTAAACCATGGACTTTTTTCCTCTTCATCAGATGAACCATCCAAGCTCCTTAGGTCATCTGATTCTCCCTCAATTTCTTCTTGTAGTTGTACCTCATTCACATCCAAGTTATCTGTCAACCTTGCCTTTGGATCCTTGGAAACCCCCTCATCATGTACATCAAACTGCTTCCCAAGACTTCTTGTTACCTTAGCTAAAATTTCTTCAGAATTCTGCACAAACCACCTCTCATCCCCACTGTCATACTCCTCCTCTCCAGGCTCCCAAGTTATGTCAATCTCACTCCCATCACTTGAAGAAAAATCATCTTCCCTCCCAGTCTCACTGCCCTCACTACTATCCTCAAAAATCAATCATTTGCCTACAGATTTTTTTTTCCCTTTCCCTTATCCAACACCTTCACACTGCCAGAACCCCTTTCAAGCTTAGCTTTACCCTTTTGTTTCCCCTTACTCAACAACTTCCCTTTACCAGGAACCCCTTAATCTCAGCAGAAACCCCTTCAACCCTTTCTATCCCCTGTCTAGAAATAGGTTTAGGAGATTCTTCACCCTCCCTCACCTTAGGTTCATTTTTGTTAATTCTTGGGCTCTTCCTAACTAAAGCAGGCTTACCTGAACTTTTCTTCCCCTTTCTCTCAGCCTTTACTGGAGTGGACTGGGCCTGGATCTCATGTATGGGCCTTAATGTTTCATTAGCAGTCACAAATACTTCAACATACCCTTCCCCATTCACTGTCTCCAGCAGCCCCTTCACTTCCTCTTCATTTACTAACTCCCTTCTCCCTGTGTTAAAGGTCCTACCTCTTTCTTTATACCAAAGTCTGTAGTTAGGTGGGACATGGACATTAAAGTTCACAAACCCATGCACAGCAGCTACCCTCAAATAATGCAAATCTATCTTATCCACTACCACATCCCTCCTCCAATAACATAACCCACCACACCAACAAAGCAAATGCTTTGATTTTGACACTTGTTTAGTAACAAAAGCACCCCCTACTCTAAATACTATATCAATTAATCCATCTTCGTTGTCGGCCATTTTTCTACCTAATAAACAAATGCAAAGCAAATCAATAAAACCCAACATAGCTAACCCCATTACACAGTCAACCGCAATACTTTAATCAACAAAATCAAACATATTTAAACCAACACAATGACAAACCAGTCAACAGTCAATAAAATCAATGATTTAAACTAAATAATTCACACATTACACCAAATCATACTTAATTTAATCAAATTCAACTTTAATTACAAATTAACCCATTTTACTGTTCTTAGGGTTCCTAATTTTTTTTCCCAAATTACCCTACTACACCCACACAAATGGCATAATGCAGCACACAGTACTTGTTGAAAACTACTTTAAAGGGTTCGAAAGGTACCTGTATTGGAATCTTACTCCTGTTGCTGTCAGAATCCACGAAAAAGTCCAAGCTTTTTGGATGTTGGAAATGGCTGACGGAATCTCGCTGACTTGTTTCGCTCCAATATTGACACCTCCTCTTCCAACTCAATTTCTCAATCACAACAATCAGTATAGGGTTTGAATGTTCGCAGTAATTTTGGTTGTTCAAGATTTGCAGACGAAATTCAATGAAGCAAAATTAGTTGGGTGGTAATAAATGACAGAGAAGATAAATTCGAATTGAAGGGGATGGAATTTGGAGGGTAAACGACTATGTGGGCCCCACCAAAAAATTCCGTCACAGTTTCTGTTATCTGGTGGTGAAAGCAAAATTTTTATTTTTTAACAGGTGTTATAATTAAACTTCGAAATCTTAAGGTGTTAAAAACAAAATTAAGTCTTTAAACAGGTGTTATTTTCTAATTTAGCCTATTATATAAGCCATTTGCAAGCCTTTTGTCGGCTAACTGTTCGACATGCATTGTATACTGTCGGTTAAATTATTACACTGGTCAATGAATTGTATACTGTCGGTTCAAATTATTACACTGGCCATTCGAGTAGTGATACTTTGCACCTACTCAAACACCTCCGTTGACAATCTTTTGTCATGGTTATGCCTCATGCTGGCATATACCACCATCTGATTTGGCCGGTATTATACTTTGAACCTACAGCCTCACGAAAAGTAGATGTTCACAGTTGATCAGACTGTGAACTTACTATTTTCGAAGCAGCGGTTTTTAGTTGTCCGTCCCATTTAATTTTGCTGCCTCAAATGGAGGATGCTTAACAACGTATTACCGTCAAACCAGGTATCTTTTATATTATTATCGGTACTATCTGAGAAACATAATTAAAAAACGTGCATGATACATTATATTATCGGAACGTTACATATATATACTTAAACATTTAAACATAAAACTTCTTAAGCACCGAAGCATTCCACACATTCTTCAAAGGCTTCCCTTCCATGGTTTCCAAACGGTACGACCCTTGCCTTACTGTGTCACTAATTTTGTAAGGTCCTTCCCAATTTATTGATAACTTGCCGTCAACATTACCCTTTCTTGTTGCCGCTGTTCTCCGCAAAACCAAATCTCTAGTGATCATAGGACAGTGATTGACCCTTTTATTGTAAGCCCTTAACATTCTGTCCTTATGTGCTGCCGACTTAACTGCAACTTTCTCTCGAAGCTCAGGCAAGAAATCTAACTGCAGTCATAGCAATAGATTGTTTTGCTCTTCACAATAGTGTTGAATGTTGAACGTTGGTAATCCCACCTCAGTCGGAATCACCACTTCAGTGCCACACACTAAATTGAAAGGGGACTCCCCAGTTGCCTCTTTTGTTGAAGTCTGGTTTGCCCATAATATCTCCGGGATAAGATCGGCCCATAGGCCCTTGACATCTTCAATCTTCTTTTTTAGGGCCGTTATAATCTGCTTGTTGGCTGCCTTGGCCTAACCGTTAGACTGTGGATGGCACACCGCTGCATATGCGAACTTGACTTTGTACATTGATGAGAGGCAAATAGCTAGGTCATTGGACTAACTACCCTCTACCAAACAATATTTATATACCTAAACCTTCACCAAACAAGTCTAGTGATAAGTAAAGGGTCGATCCTCAGAGACGGCGAATCATTATAAACACTACCGTTACTAAGCTAGGTCAAAGGGATATGGAGAAAGAACGGACTAAATATAAGAAGGGAAAAACTAAAAAATATGAAAAGAAACCAAAAAATAAAATCACTAGGGAAGGGGAATCAAGGCAATCAATGTTACAAGCACAAGCATAGCAATGAACGCGGACATTCTCAATAACTTGAAAGGGGCAAAGCTCAATCATCTAGGTCTCTCCCGAGCACGCTACACAATAAAGCACCCAACCCCAGCTAAGGGCTCGTGATCAACTCAAAGGGTTCACTTCTACCTAATTAGCTCTTTCCCAAGCAACTAAATGGGTAGCAATTAGATCATGCATTCAACCGGCCAAAGCGAAAGCAAGCATTACACATACCTCAATGAGCACATCCAAATCACTAAGAATTAATCCGCACACACCACCATTCTAGCACTAATCAATCGCAAGCAAACAAACATCAATAATCTAATTGGTCAAGTCGATAATATGGAGAATTGCCTAACAACCTAGGTCACTCCCGCACACACTAGGCCATTAAACTCTCAACCCCGCCTATGAGGTCATGGTCAACTAAACAATGAAATACTTTATTAAGCTAGCTCACTCCCGCACAACTAACACAATAGCGATTAAATCATGACACCAATTGGCTAGAAAGACACCAAGCATTAAGACCTTCACTTTTAGTTCAATACATCAACAATTCCAATTAACCCATCAATAAAGTGTTCATCTTGCTCATTAATCTCCAATTAAACCCTATTCCTAGCTAAGAAAATTACTCTAACATAATTAAACTAGCAAAATCAAAGACATTAACACAACTAAACTAACATGAGCAACAAACATTAACCAACAAAGAGGAACAAGAAAGAGACTAAGAATAAAACCCAACAGGAAGAACAAATTACCAAAACTACTATACTAATCAAGCAAATAATTAAACAAAGCAAGAATTAAAGAAAGAAATAAATGAGATAGAGTTAAGAATGCTCATTAGATTTATGAAGAGAAATCCAAAACAATGTCACTTTGCATCTTCATCTTCTTCAATCCTCCATTAAAGCTCTTCACTTTCTCTCTCTAAATTACCCTAGAGTACTCCTAATCTACATTACAAAGTATAAAAACAAAGATTAAAACTAAATCTAAGCCTAATTTATGTGAAGATTGATGGAGAGATGTTAGGGTTTAATCCCTCAAGGAGGTGGGAGAAAACCCCAAAGAAAACCCCAATCAAAAGCTTCGCCAAAATGAGAGGAGGACGAAGATATAAAATAAACGGAAGCAGCTCGTGCGCGCCCGCGCAGGGAGGTTGCGCGCCCGCAAAGAGCATCTACAGGAGGTTGATTGGCTTGGCAACGACATTCATTTTCAAACAGCCATACCTTCTGTTATTGGAGGCTTCTGGGGGCGTGCGACCTACCGTTGGAAAGATCTTCAAGTTTAGTTTCCAATGCAACTTGAATAACCTCATTCCTATTTGTAGATCAAAAGTTATGGCCAAAACAATGAGAAAAGGTCAGTCTCCGTGCCCACTGTGCACCCACGGGAGCCATTTACAACTTTACACACATCTTCCTCCTTCCTTTACTTGACTTGGCTTGCACTTGGGCCACCTTCATTGGTTCGGGAATTCTAAAATGATTTAAATTGCCCTTCAAAGCTGCACCCAAACCACAAACATGTACCTAATGCAATAAATGACATACGAGAGTAAAAGGGAATATATAAATGCATCAAAAATGATATAAAACATATAAAACCATGCAAATCTTCCCAAATTACTCAACTAATCAAAACCAAGATTTTATTTACTAAATACACACGAAATCATAACAAAAATAAATCAAAATAAAGCAATAAAGCTAACTATAGAGTGCCATAAATGGCACTCATCATACATGGCCAAGAGTCTTTGACTGGCTTGCAATCAAACGGTGATCCTTGATCAAAAACCATTGCCATCGGTAACCCAAATCTGGTAAAGATGTTTTTCCATATGAACATTTTTTATCTCGAATGTTAATATCTTTGCTATTAGTTCTGCTTCTATCCATTCGAGAATTTTATAATACCACTGACTGCTGTTATCAACAATGAACCTCTTTTGAATCTTCATCTATACTTTTTTGGTTTCAAAATCTTGACCATAACTATTCTCTCTAGATCGTTAAAACTGGAGCTAGCCAACCTTGCTAGAGCATCAGCCTGTGAGTTTTGTGCTTTGGAACCAATGTTATTTCAAAGTGTTCTAGCTGTGCCGATAACTTCTTGAGCTTCTCAACTTATTTTACCATTGCTGACTCTCGTGCCTCTTATTCGCCAGTAAATTAGCTTGATACCAACTCTGAATCAATTATCAAAACTAACCGCCTGGCCTCTACCGCTAAGGACAACTGCACCCCTACTATTGCCGCCTCATACTTTGCTTCATTATTTGAAGCTTTAAATTTGAACTTCAGTGCGTACTCAAATATGTCCCACTATGGCGACGATGTCACTATCTCGGCCCCTGATCCAGTCACAGTAGCGGATTCATCCACCGACACTTGCCATGTTCCCACCTGCTCCTCTTCGTCATTGTAGGAAGCTTCTACAATGAAGTCTGATAATGCCTGCGCTTTAATTGACACTCTAGGCTTGTAAACCAATTCGTATTCCGACTATTCAATTGCTCATTTCAACAACCGGCCCGAAGTATCCATCTTCTGCAAGGATTTTTCTAACGGCTAGTTAGTAAGTGCTTGTATCACATGGGCATCGAAATATGGCATGAGTTTCTTTGCTGCTATAACAACAGCATATGCCATCTTCTCAATTACTGGATATCTGCGTTCTTCCGCATTCATGGCTGACAAAGTAGATTGGCAGTTGTCATTTTTTTCTTTCTACCAACAATACCGCTGCCACTGTCTTCGAAGAAGCTCATATGTATAGCTGTAGCTGTTCCCTACGCTCTGGTCTTGCTACTGTCGACAACGACCTCAAATGATTCCTAACCACCTCCAGGGCTTCAATCTGGTCCTTTCCCCATTCAAAAGTTTTATTTTGCTGAAGACCACAAAAAAGGGGAATGCCTTATCAGCGGAGTAACTGATGAACCGTGTTAGGGCTTCCATTCGGCCTGTAAGACTTTTCAAGTAACGTATTGTTTTCGGTTGCTTCATATCAAGTATTGCATTAACCTTATTTAGATTTGCATCAATTCCTCCCTCACAAACCATGAACCCTAAGAACTTGCCTGAACGAACCCCAAACACACATTTTTCTAGATTCAACTTCATCTGGTACCGTCGAAGGGTATCAAAGGTTTCCCTTAGGTCAGCAATGTGATCTATTTCCAACCGACTTTTCACAATTGTATCATCCACATACACCTCTACATTTTGCCCTTTTTTCTTCTCAAAGATCTTCTCGACCAGCTTCTAATAAGTCGCTCCGGCGTTCTTTAAACGAAACGGCATAGCCTTATAGAAATAGACTCCTACGTCCGTTATGAGCACAACTTTGGCCCTATCTGATTCATGTAGGCTAACCTGATGGTATCCCGAAAAAGCATCCAGGAAACTGAGCATTGCATGTTCGGATGTGGAATCTACTAGTCTGTCTATCCGTGGTAACGCATAACAGTCCTTAGGGCATGATTTATTCAAATCTGTAAAGTCAATGCACATTCGCCACTTTCCTGTCGGCTTTCTCACCATAATCACATTCGCCAACCATTTCGGGTATGTGCAAGGCTCAATAAACCCTGCTGCCAAGAGCTTATTGACTTTAGCTTTTATTGCCTCAATCTTTTCTATCGAGAAATTTCTCTTCTTTTGCCTTACCGGTCTAAACCTTCTATCAACATTCAGCTTGTATACCATAATATCAGGATGTATTCCCGGCATCTCGTCCGCCAAGAAAGCAAATACATCTGCATTTTCTCGCAGCAAACTAATCAGATTACATCTCATTCTGTATCCATGTCTAACCCCACTTTAAATGTTCGGCCTTGGACACCCGGCTGGAGCTCAACTTGCGTTGTTACTCCCCCGAGAGCCGGTCTAGGTACTAATACCGGCCTTGTGTCAAAGTTTTCCATTGACAAATCACACACTGATGGCTCTCTGTCCCTTTTCGGACTATTCAGTGTAAGTAATCCTCGGGTGGGTTGCTTCAATGCAGTCGTATAACAGGATTTTGCCATTTCCTAGCCTCCATGTACCTTCTCCACATGTCCTTCATTCGATACATAGGTCATTGTGAGGTGATATTTCGACACTACAACCTGCGTGTCATGAATGAGCCATCTGCCGATAATCGCATTATATGCTGACGGTACATCAACTACTATGAACTTAGCCATTACGTCCCTTGTTGAGGGTCCATCGCCAAACCGAACTGGTTAGACAATACCGCCATCTGACCTACTGTTGAACCATTAAATCCAATTACAAGAAAGGAAATCATCTAATTACAAGATAGGAAACCTGTGTCAAATACTGCCTACCTATCATCATTGCATCAAATGCCTTCGTGAATAGGATATTTGCTGAACTCCCTCCGTCAACCAGAATCCACTTTATTTCTGCCCTATTTATAAAGAGTATTATTACCAAAGGATCATCGTGAGGAAAAACAATTCCCTTTGCGTCTTCTTTTGATAAGGTGCGTGACACTAGGAATGTTGGAGGGCCGAGGACGGCTTTTAACATCTAGTGCATTCACTATATGCCAATGTTCTGACAAGCATTTTCCTACACCGCTAATCGTCCCTCCATGAACCGCCCACTGGTAATAACATCAACCACTATGTTTCTCCCAGATGATGACGGTGGTTGTCTTCCATCTCCTTGTCAATTTACTCCGACCTGCTTCTTTTCATTTATGGTATCTTGTTGCCGGTATTCTGTTTGACGGGGGACTATCGGTTGCTGACTTCCCCTTGAATGCAAACGATATTTAGTTAAATGCCCTTTTTTTATCAGCTCTTCTATGTTATCTTTCAACTGCATGCAATCTTCTGTGTAATGGCCAACATCACGATGAAACATGCAATACTTTTTCATATCTCTGCCTTTTGCCTTCATCGGTGTCGGTCTCACCCAATCTTCTCTATTCTGATTTACTGAGTAGATGGCGGCCCTAGGCATATTCAATGGGGTGAAAGTACTGTACCGTGCTGGTACCTTTGCACCTCTACCTACCTATCAGCCCCCAACCCCTATCATCAGACATGGGGCTCTGGGCCTACTACTTCCAAATGTAGTATTGTCAGATGGATGCTGAATTTTCTCTACCGGCACAGTTCTGCTACTTGTTTTCAACAGCTCTTCCCCTTTGATGTAATCATAAGCCTTATTAAAGGCCACTACTAATGTCAGGAGATTCTTCTGCGTTAGGTATCATTTGAATTCACAATTATTGAGACCATTCATCTACGCCATAACTGCAATTTCTTGTTGTAGCTTCGGGATTGTATTTGCTTCATTATTAAACCTCCTGATATAGTCCCTTAGAGACTCATCCGATCTTTGCTCAACTACCATCAGCTCTCCTGATGTCCTTTTCCAGACACCGTTACTGACATACTGCCCCACAAACATCTTTGTCAGCCTTTCAAAGCTATTAATCGTTCCATTTCCTAGATTGGAAAACCAATCTGAAGTTGCTCTAGTCAAGGTGGTTGGGAAAATCTTGCACTAGACGGCATTAGAATTTGTGTATAGGACCATATGCCCTTCATAGGACGTTATGAATCTGTTCGGATCCCCCCTGTCGTCATGCTTGCACATCGGCATCTTAATCTTTTCCATTGGCTGATCTAGGATATCTTGTGTAAACGGTGAGGCCCGTGGCTTCACAACTGCCCGTATCGCACCATGACCTGCACTTTACAAAGTTATTTTCCTTTGGGTCCTCGAATTGACAACATGGCTAGAGGATTGCGCCTCTGTTTCCTGATTTGTCGTATGTGTCCTTATCGGCGATACCTCCCGAGATCAATGCCTCAGAAAACGCTCGCATTGTTGAAATGGCTATCAAGATTGACTATTAGCACTTCACCTCTGATCTGCCCAATAACTGTTCCTCCTGCTTCTTTTCTTTTTCTGCTCATTGCTCTCATTACCCTGGCTGTCAACTCCAGCTCCTCCTGAGTAAACTCAGCCAAAGGGTCTTGTATTGTATCATTTTGTCGTTCAGGTGATATCGGCATGTTGAACTTATTTCCTTCTAAGGTATGGGTCTCATCTTCTATTTCAACATCTGGGATGTCGTACCATTTCCCGTTGTCATATTCAAATTAACAGTTTCCGTGATTCCCTTATCATTTACCTGTGTTTCTTAGTCCGGGGTGAGTTCGGGGATAACCAATCCGATGATGAAGTTAGAAAATGTTTTCAAAAAGAAGAAGAGAAGAGAAAATATTGAGAGAATAGGAGCGAGAGAGAGAGGGAGCATTTATTTTTACCTTTAATTGAAGAGTTAAATTGCTTATTTTTAGTAGACTTCCTGCTAGGTGGCTGCATGCCATGCAAATAATATTCATGCCAAGTGTTGGTCATCCCATGCCACGTGGTGTACGCAGCGTGACCATGGTTCTAACCGTTACGACTAAAAGCCGACATGATCTTTCTGATCTATAGTTGTAACCAGAGTCATTCCCAAAAGGTTTGATATCGACTCTGTTATCTTCTTTATCGGTATCCTCCCGTATAGCTACCACCAGGAATAGCATTTGTGGTAGCTAGGGTTGGATCAAGAACTAGAGGAATAGCATTTGTTGTTGATCGTGGTTGATCCATTCCTAGATACCACAAATGATATTCCTCTAGTTCTTGATCGTGAAAAAGTAGTCAATATTCTAATTGGGTAGAATTAATTGAATGCCATGCTCATGCCTTTGACATTCTTGATCATATAGACCCGAAAACATCTCAACCTGCAGATTTATGTGATATATTTTGTACAACTATCTTTAGAGGTTTCCTAATACAACTGAGACTCATATTGTAACTCTTTCTATATATATATTGATCAATGAAAATCACTCCAATTTGAGGAGTTCCACAAAATCTAACAACTTTTAATTCTTATTAACCTTTCTATCACATGTTATTTTTGAGTGATTTGCATCATTTGATCAGATAAGAGATTAAAGATCTATAGACTTCTTCCAAATTGTGCTATGCCATTGATCTACAATCTCCTTTGATCAATTGATCCTTCTCTCCTAGTTAGCCACGTCATCAGTCCTTTGGTTATAGTCTTTAATAATTATCCCTATCAATTTCTAGATATGACTTTCTTGAAGATTTCCACATGTCTATTGATTTTAATAAAGAGTTTTACCGGCCCATGTGAACTAAACAATCATCAACTTAATTAATCCAGCACAATAATGAATATGAAATTAGGAATTAAAAATGCAGATTTGTTTGTCAGGATTTTTTTAAGCAAGACATAAACGAAGAGTAGGTAAAGATGTGCGGATCGGAGTAACATATATTAAATCGTTAATTATTAGATTTTTTAATTAAAAATCAACTTAATTTTCATTAAAGAGTAGGTGATTAATGACTCGTCTGAACTTGACCTTTCATTGACAACGTGTTTTAAAAAACTGGAGAGAAGGGCATAACATGGATTTCAAATATACAATACTCTTGTTGATCTTGAAGTTTGTAGCTTTTGTTTTTCGAAATCAAAACCATGTCTACCTTTATTTTAAACCCATTATGTCACATTGTTACACCATCCATTACCACTAAATTTAACCTAAATGACCCAAATAATAAGCTGCTTTTTTCTAAATCAAATAAAAGTAGTAGTAATTTGCATCTAAGAAAATCCTCCAATAATTCTTCTCTTGCTGTGAAATGCATCAAGGAAGAAGGAAAAGTTGGGAGTGTTAATGAGCATCATCAAAAGCACAATTTAGTTGTGGAAAACATTCCTCCTCCTACACAACTACCTTTTTATGATTTGGAAAGAGATGATTTCCCTCATGATTTTCTCTTTGGTGCCTCCACTTCTGCCCTTCAGGTTTTTCCTTGCTTTCTTTAAGTTCAAGTCTTCTAAAGTTATTCTATCTGTTCGGAATTAATAGTATGTTTTTTAAAATATAAAAACTAGGCTGTGTGTTTGGAATCGAGAGCTAGTCTTTTCATTTTCATATCATTACTACTACATTTTCTAATTATCAAATGCAACGATTGAAATTGAGCTAATTAATGCAACGATCTTTTTATAGCTATAGGTCTAATGCAACTGCGTCATGGTTAATTTATCTTTTTGTACATGTAATACTACATACGTACTAAATAAGTAGATATAATTAAAGTACTATATTGATCTATTATATGTACGTAGTACTTTATTTCAATTAATATCGTTTTTTCTGAAAGTTTCATGAATTGATATGGTTTTTGAACTGGAGTTTGATATGTATGCTAAATTTCATAGATTGAAGGACAAGGGAATGAAGGTGGAAGAGGGAAAGGTACTTGGGACTCCATGATCGAAGCCAACAAAGGGAGGAAAGCTGTTGATTCCTACAACCTTTATAAGGTATGGGTCGTAGTTACAACTTACAAGGACGTATATTATACATGTAAAAGTCACATGAGTCATACTTTTCGAAACAGGGGCAGTATGTTAGTTAGGGGTGTTAACAAGCCGAGTTGTCTGCTCGTGAACTGATCGAAACTCGACTAGATCAAGGCTCGGTATAGGTTCGGCTCAAGTGAGCTTAACTTGATCTCGGTTTTGGCTCGAGATCGATCTTAACGAGCTAAGCTTGAGCTATCCTTCGCTCATATCGAAAGCTCGTGAGCAAGCTCAAGTGTTTATTGAATAATATTTTTTTTTTTTTTTAGTAAATTAGTTATTAGAATAAACTTTCTTCATTTTAAGGCTTAGGGATTAAAATTAATCTTCAAAACTCTAGTGTTCTATTTTTGTTGTTTATATAGAAGAACCAAAAAAAAAAAAAGGGGGGAAAAAGTAACCCCACATTAAAAGATGGGAGCAAGTGATTGAATATGAGAGTTATAAAAGCAAACTTTGATTGTCTTAGAAACGACAATGAGCACCATTTGGGCCTTGGTTAAATGGAATAAATATTGAAGTCTAGTTGTATTATTATAAAAAGTTGCAAATTTTGCTGGGCTTGACAAACCTTGAGCTTTGAGTCAAACCGAATGGAGCCAAGTCGAGCCAAAGCCTTTAAGAGTCTCGAGCTCAGGCCGAGCCTTAAGCGGTCTCGATCTCACACTGAGCTCGATTTTTTCAGGCTAGAAGAGCTTCGAGTTTGAGCCAAACTTGAACTCATGAGCTTTGAGCTTATAGGCTTGGTCTTGATATCGGTTCGGTTCGTTAACACCCTATTGTAAGTAATGTAACTAGTTGCATTGTCGGTCCAGACAATTCACTGTTTAACTAATATATATAATTCATAAGAGGATATGGAGTATCTTTTTTTTTTTTTTTTTTTTTTTTTTTCGAGGAAGGATATGGACTATCTTTAGTAAAATGTTTAAGAAACAATTTCTTGACATTATTTAAGATGTAGCTTTCTTCAATAATGTTTTCTTAAACAATGATTAATACGAAGTTTAAAATAGAAATGTTAAAAAAAATATGGAATACCATGTCAACAATTAGGGGTGTACATAAACAGGACCGGACCTGAAAACCGACCTGAACCGGACCTGTTGGGACCGGACCTGATCCGGACCTGTAGATTCAGGTCCGGTCCCGGTCCTTGAAATTCAAGGTTTCCGTTTCCGGTCCGGATCAGGTCCAAAACCGGGGTTTTCAGGTCCGGACCTGAAACCCGGATTTTTTATATAATATATATATAAAAAAATATAAAAGCCTAAAAAACCTAATACTTCAACTATTCAGCAACGCCTCTTCTCCTCTCACCTTTTCTCTTATCCTTTCTGATTCTCAGTATCCCCTCTTCCTCTCTAATTCTCAATCTCCCCTCTTCCTCTCTGATTCTCAATCTCACCCTTTCTTTCTGGTTCTCAACGACTCCTCTTCCTCTCCTCTTCTCTCTTCCTGGCTCCAGCATCGTGGGATTGGAGCACCGTCGTCCAACATCGAGGCCCCGTCGTCCACCATCTGCCGTCACCAGAGTTTGTTTATACTTTAGTTTTAGTTGAATATAGGTTAGTATGTAGATCTAGTTTTATTTTTCACATAATTTACGATTATAATTATCTTTTTTAATGAAATTGTAATGTAAAATTATAAATTTTGTAATTTAAGTTTGTAGATCTATTTTTTCGAAATTTCTGTTTTTTTTTTCTCGGATTTTCTGACAATTTATGTATAATTTGTTTTTTGCGATTTTTTTGTTCGTTTTTTTGTTTTTTGTTCGGATGTTGGATGTATGTGTGGAATCGATTTGGGTTTTTTTTCTTTTTCTTTTGTTTTTCTGGGTTGTGGGTGCGGTGGATGCCTGACGGTGGTGGGTTTTTTTTTCAATTTTTTCGTTTTTCTGGGTTATGGGTGGGTATCAATGGGTCTGGGTTGTTGGGGTTATGGTGTCTGGGTTAAGGGGGTTAAGGTGGTTAAGGGGTGAGTTGGGGTAGGTGGTAGAAGGAAAGAAGCTTGTGGTGGTGGGCTGTGCGTAGGGGTGTATGTATTAGTGGTGGTGGGTTGTTCGTAGGAGGTTGTTGATGATAGTTTTTAGTCAAAACTTTGGCTTGAATAAAGAAAAAAAAAAGGGAAAATACAAATTCAGGTCTGTTCAGGTCTAAACCCGGACCGAACCTGAATTTTCAGGTCTGACCCGAAACCGGACCTGTTGATTCAGGTCCGGTCTCCGGTCCTCAAAATTCTCTAATTCAGGTCCCCGGTCCAAACAGGTCCGGTCCGGTTTTGGACCGGTGTACACCCCTATCAACAATTGACATACATATATATAATTTTGAATTGCAAATTACACTGTTGATTCAAATTACCTACAATATTTTAACCACAAAAGAAACTTATGTTTAGTGAAATAAAATTATTACGGTAATTAAATTATATTTATTGAGCATAAATTATTTTTACTAATCATAGATGATTTTTATTGATTTAAACTTATTTTACGAACTTATTACGTATTTTGTATTTGCTAGTTTTGATTTTTATTATAGATTTTATATAAATTTTTTTATCAATGCATTTATTCTTACTTTTAAGAATAAAAAGTACTGATATTTATTGAATTAAACTTAAACTAAGCTAATCTTTTCATTTAAAACTTGTAATATAAGTATGGCTTCTTGTCTACGTATGTGTTGCATGCTCAACACCAATACTTGAGGAGATATTTTGGGCATGCACATGTTGTAAAATGTAGAATTAAACTTCTATAGTCATGATTTTAGTTTGTTTCTTCTCTAATACAACTACTACCTTGTTTCACAATAAGTCCAATATTTTAACTTTTTTAATTTGTTAAACCATGACCTTGACCAATAGTTTTTGCATGTATATACGAAGTTTCAATCAATAAAAAATTATATTTTAAAAATATACATTGAAACTAATCTAATAATATTTTTTAATTTATTACTAACTTTCTATAAATATGTGAAAACTGTAGTCAAAAGTTAGTTGATGAATAATGTAGAAAATCAAAGCAATACATATATTGTAAAATAGACGTAATGATAATTTCAAATAGTTTCTCAAATGCTCAAAGGTCTTCATGGTACAAGCTTGTAAGTAAGACTAGGTAAATAAGCACTAATCACTTTTCATTTATGTTTCACAAATAATAGCCAAAAATTACAACTAATGTAAAATAAAATTAGTAGTAATTTTTCCTTCCTAACGTAGTTACATGTCTTACGGTTAACTTGGGCTAAAGGCCTAGAAACAATTTGAACTTTGAGTTTTCCAATAGAAAATAAACTAATTAATAACATTTGGAATTGAAGTTAGTTTATATCCATGATAAACATGACTTCAATCTAGCGGCTTTGAATTTTGATAGTGATACCATTTATGCCAATAAACCTAAGTATCCAAGTCAATTTCGTAATTTATAAAAACAATATTGTACCTATGAAAAATGCAGGAAGATGTTAAGTTGTTGAAAGAAATGGGCATGAATACGTACAGATTCTCCATTTCTTGGTCAAGGATATTGCCAAGTGAGTTCCTTAGCTTGATGCTAATTTTATTTAATCCCTATCCCATCTTCTTATACGTAATTAGAACCAATAATATTATGATTTTCACGAGTTTATCACGCAATTGTTAATTTGTTAATTCAATCTTTTATATGCAGATGGTACTATTCGTTCGGGCGTAAATGAAGATGGCATAAATTTCTACAACTACTTAATTAATGAATTAATTGAAAATGGTAGCCCTTTAATTTATTTTCAATGCATCATATGGTACCGTACTTCATATTAAATAATATTTTCTCTGTTTATTTGATTGTAATGCTTTGACTTTTGCACTATCTACCTAATTTGATTGGTTTTGTATGACTAGTATTTGAGGAAATCATACCATTTGAATCTACATATCAATCAAGCAATGAATGTTTTTAAGTGTAAATGCTTTACAAAATTTTGACTTATTGATAATACAAGATATGAGTGATAGATAGTTATGCATTGAGAAGCGTGAAAGTAAACTTATAACTTTATAATATAGGAGGTTCTACGTTAGTACTCCGTACATGGCACACTAATTATACTTGGAAGTCTCTAATAATTCATATATACCCTGATTGGCTGATTAGTTGATCTCTAAATCTCTAATTAATCCAATGTTGTCAGATATTACTCCTATGGTTACATTACTCCACTTCGATCTGCCTCAAATTATACAGGACGAATTTGGAGGCTTCTTGAGTCCACACATCAGGTTCATGTTCTTTCAAAGACTACTATTTATTACTCAAAATAAATAGTTCCTCCTCGAAATTTAGTTGTCACATTACCGCTTAAATTACACCATCACTATGACAATAAATGCCGGCTGGAAAAAATATTTTACTATGGACAATATAGGAGTAACGTTGGTTTTCCTCAAAAAAAAAAAAAGTGACGTTGGTACGGTTTTTTACATACAGAGAACTGTTTAAGGAATATGCAGATCTATGCTTTAAGAAATTTGGCGATCGAGTAAAGTGTTGGGGGACAATTAATGAGCCTCTAATTTATGTTTACCTTGGAAAAAAGATGGGATTTCCTCCTCAACTACAGATTGATACTGAAGCTCCCTATATTGCTTACCATAATATTATCTTAGCTCATTCTGAGGCTGCAAAACTCTACAAGCACAAATATCAGGTACGTACCACTTGTTTCGAGTTTCGAAGATTGGAATCCTAAATGTTTCTTTAAATAAGTTGGTTTTGAAATCTAATTAGTTTCTCATACGATGTTTTGTAGAAAAAGCAAGGCGGGAAAATTGGAATTTCATTGCCAATTCAATGGTCTATGCCATTTAATCAACATGATTCTATGGATTTAGCTGCAACGGAAGCGTGTTTGGATCTCTCCGTTGGTTGGTATGTTAAATAAACATAATGTTAATCTCGTGCATTTAAATAATAAATCGATGATAAAAGTCTAATTATTGATGTTATTTAGCTAAAATGATTACTAGGTTGTAATATGGGTGATTAACGACGCTTTTATTACCTCTGCAAATCTTTAATTTCTTGTCCTCTTAAACACGACATACCCACTCTAAAGAAGAGTCTAACTGTATGTAATGTGTAACAAAGTTCTATCGTAATAGAAAATTTGAAAAATACCACCAACTATTGTTTACATTTTAAACAATACCACCTCAAGTTTTTTTATTCAATATTAATTATCACCTAGTTTTCTCAAAAACCAAATAAATTCCCACTACTTTTGCCCAACTCCCCTATATGACGTCATGGTGGGTCTTACTAATAATTTTTCTTCTCTTTTCCTTCAAATTTCCCTATTCTTCCTAATTAACCAATTTTGCAACTAATTAACCCTAGAATCTACTCCCCAAATTTAATTTATAAACCCTAATTTCAATTGAAAAACCCCCAAATTGATTTTATAAACCCTAATCAAACAAAACACTCTATAACATGATTATGCCCTCGATTTTGCATTGTCGTTTGGCTTGAAAAACAAATTAGTGAATTAAAACCCTAAATAACGCCTAATTGATTCGCAAACTGATTTTAAAATTAGACAAAGAGGAAGAGAGAGGAAGAAGAAGGAAGAACAGAGGTGAGAATCGAGGGAAAAGAGGGGTACAATTGGTAGTGAGGCCAACCATGACGTCATAGGGGAGTTGGGCAAAAGTGGTGGGAGTTTATTTGGTTTTTGAGAAAACTATGTGGTAATATACAATAAAAAAAAATAAAAAAAAAAACTTAAGGAGGTATTGTCTAAAACATGAACAATAATTGGTGCTATTTTTCAAATTTTCCTAATACCAATTTGTAGTATGTAGCGTTGCCTAGTTAGCAAAACAAACCTATACAGCTATACTTATGCATCCTCTCCATGTCTTTCAATACAACATAAATAGTCCATATCACTTGTGGCCTGGGATTTTCAAAGCAATAAAGAGAAGAGAAATATGTACGAATAGTGACTCACGTATATTGAAAATTTTATAATAGTCGTTTAAAAATTGAAATATGACTACAATAATGTTGAAGATAATGACTAACATATCATTTTTTTGTAAGATACTCCACCAATTTATTTCAATGTGGGTTGTCCCATGTCGAAGACGATCAATGAGAGACAGTTATCACGTACCATCACTTACAAGTTTGAGCTGTTGAGCATCGTAATTGCTCCACTCCAACCATACTCAATTGAATATTTTGGGATGATGAAAAACTTCAATTCTATTGTGCTGCAACCCACCTATACCCAATTAATTATTTTGGGATGATGAAACTTCAATTCTACTATGCTTGTTTGTTACTTCATCCGTTCTAAATTAGATGACACGTTTCTTTTATTACATTTGGCAATGTAAACGTTTAATCGAAATTATCTTTGGTTATATTATTGTAAAAAAATACTAAAAATTGAATTTTAATTAAGTACACATTGAAATGAATCTAACATATCTCACATAACTATGTTTTTTGATACCTATAAATTATAAATGTTAGTCAAAGTATAGTTAATGAATAGTGTCAAAAGTCAAAACGTGTCATCTGATTTAGATTGGAGGAAGTATGTACTACTATTCTCTTTTATTTTGTGTTCATTGTGCATATGGTCATTTACACATTTGTTTAACGCTTTGTTCTAATTTTCATGTTTTGATTGAATTTATCTTATTTGAACTTATTTGAATGAATTGTTTTCAATGTAGTAGTCCCATTTTCTCTATAACTTACCGTCACTGACTATATATCATGAAATGAATCAAAATCAATCAATTAATAAAATTAAACATGGCCTAGATATATAACATGGAATAAGATTCTAGATTAAAAATAGTTGGTACCACACGTAACACAAATTAATTATACGATGGTTAGAGTATCATCTAACCTAACGCTTTGTTTAAAATGAAGATTTTTTTTTTTTTTTTTTGTTTTTTTCGCAATCATCTAAAGCTTGATCAATTAGGTTTATGAATCCTCTTGTGCACGGCGATTACCCAGAATGGATGAAAAATAACGTACCAGGACTCCCAAAGTTCACGAACGAGGAAAAGGAGCTAGTGAAGGACGCTTATGATTTTATCGGTATAAATTACTACTCTTCAAGATACATCCAACAATCTTTCTCTTATGATGGTATGACGGGCGAAGTTACGATTTCTTTCAAGACCCAAACTGGTATGAATGATTATTTCAGTTTCATTTAATAAACACACGAGTCGTCACAGTCATCTTAAACATTCTAATCAACCTCTAGTATAAATTTTAATTTGCAATTGAATTGTGAAAGGAAGAAAAAGGAATAATACGTTGGATAAATAGAGAATTTAAGGTGTCTTATATTGAAAATTCTAATGTAATCTTATGACTTTTGATTACCACAATTTTTTTAAAATGAACGGCTGAGATTGTTTGTTTTTTTATTCTTTAATGAGTAATTTTAAATTAAAATTATTTTTTTATTATTTTATTCTAGAATTTCGAAAATATTAAAAAATAATTTCTGGAAGATAAAAATTATTTTTAATTAAAATTATTGATTAAAAATAAATAAAAAAACTAATAATATCAACCATTCATTTTAAAAATTTATGGTAGTCAAAAGTCATAAAACTACATTAGAATCATCTGTCATATATATAGCCTGGTTATACTTGTCTTAAATACCCATCTCAAAATATTGTGATTGTTTTATATATTGTTGTCGAATATAGAGATAGGTGCATCAAAGGGTAGTTTTTTTTTTTGCTCATTTGATTTTTTTTTATTATTATTTTTTTTTTTATTTAATGCTCATTTAAGATCAGTAGATTTTAAAATGAGCAAAAAAATACATTAAATGAATACCCTTGGTTGTACTTTACATGTATATATAATTTTTAAGTCAAACGTTTGCAATTTGTTATTAATGACTTCTAAATAATAGAAATTGATGAATACTTCGTATTATACTTAGAAAGAATTTAAACAATGGGGAGCAAAGTATAAATTACTTACTACTCCTAGTGTAACTCTTGGTTTCCAATTTAAATCAAGAGGCTAAAGTAATTAATCAAAGCATCAAATCTTTTACTTATCCTATAATTCTATCCCAATACCAAACAAAAATGAGAAAAATATAGCTCCTTAAACTTATAACTGTTCAGTTAAATCATTTCTAATTTTATGATTTCTAATGCACTAAAAATTATATATAAATATTACTACGAGTAAATTGAAACTATGGATTGAGAGTACATCGATCTTTCTACCATGTTAATAGATATTTGTTTATGAAATTACTCAAGAAAATGTTGAGAAGAAGAATCTTGGGAAGCCAGCTGAAGGGCGAAAGGATATTTATGATCATCCTAATGGACTTAAGCAATTGCTACTTCACATGAAGAAAAAGTATGGTAATCCTGAAGTATATGTGACTGAAAATGGTGAGTTACATGAACTACTACATTCTTTCTTCGGTCAGGATCCTTCTCCTTTACCGGAATTTTCAACAAAATTAAAACTATCTATACAATATACTTAATTCGTATGTTTAATTCACTTTCTATTGCTCATATTTTGTGCATTATTCAAGTAATCATGTTTAACATGTTCGGTATGGCAGGTATCTCTTCACAACCTACAATATCAGGTTCAATTAAGGATTTGATTAAACATGGAAAATATAATGAACTGCAAGACGCATTTTATGATTACGATAGAATCAAGTATGCAGCTGGCCATCTTATTGCTGTTCGTGATGCAATCAGGTAAATTTTTAATCCTAGTAACTCCCTTATTAGTGTCTAAATATAAGAGGTTTCAATGTAATTACTCCAGTTTAAAGTGTTTTAACTTTTCACGTGCTTAGCATTGGTCAAGACAACTCTTTGATTTTGCCAGGTCAAATTTGTTCAACTTATCTAGGTCTGCAATAAGCCAGTAGGGCACATATATGTGGTTTTACGCGAGTGTCACATGTATATATGAACGTTACATCGTACAAATATTATCATTTCTAGTTTGTATAAGCATTTCTGCCGAAATAGCACCTTATAAGAAAATGTTTGACATTGAACGTTGTTGTTTGTTGTACAAAAAACAGGGAGGGAGCAAACGTCAAGGGCTATGTGGTGTGGTCGTTGTTGGACAATATGGAAGTGGGAAGTGGTTATGATGTTCGCTTTGGTCTCAACTTTGTAGATTATTTTGATAATCACAAGAGATATCCAAAGTTATCTGCTATATGGCTCACTAAGTTTCTTAAATCTCATATAGTTGGATACTAATGGTTCTATAATTGTGATACTTTACAAAATTGTATGAGTACTATTGTTTTTTGGTTATTCGGTGTATCATGTACGTGATGAACTTGTAGCAAGACATATAATGGTTACTTTTGTTCGTCTCTTTCTTGGTTTTGCAAATAAATGGCTCGGATGTGCCATTGGTGTTTGGTTGTAATTTTGAAATTAACTTTATATTTTAAAGAAATGAAGTATGAATTTATTCTATGTAGTTTGAGATTAGAATTACTTACATGTCAATCCATAAAGATTTATAATGAATTCAATTTTTGGTTGTTCACTCCAAATAATCCCACCTTTGAATTATTATTTTTAAAAAATCCGAATTTTGGGAGACATTTGCTTTATTGCACCAAAAAAATCATTGTGGACTACGCTCATTGAGAACAATATTTTCTAGTGGGATCATGTTAACCTGGGGTATTATAGATGTTATCAGAGTCAAGACTCATTTCGGTGCCTTAGGGATGCAAGCTCCTTAATGGAGGGGAGAAGATAACTATGACACTAAAAAAGAAGTCTTCCTTAAAAGGGGTTAATACCTCAACGTAGTTTAGGCCTTTTGGGTTGGAAATCTGTCTCACACCAAAGCAAATCCTTGCGACGTAGGTCAAGAAAGGACATTATCTTCTAATGAGCTCATGTTGACGTGGATAGTTACATTGAACCTCTATGTTATTGTATCAAGTATGCACTTTACCTAAAACGACTTGTAATCATATGATATTGCATGCTATGTGAAACTAAACTATGTATCAACATAATTTAATGAAAATGTTAATGTGTTATCAACACACCAACTTACCAAGGCAATGACACCAATGAGTACTTTGATATTTGATGAATATTGAAAACATTATAAACTCCGTAGCGCAAATATGACTATATGAGTTATTTTTGGGTTATTTTGACTAAATTTATACAAAAACAATTCCAATAATTTAAAATAAGTTTTAACATGTTATATTCTGTTGTGACTAATGAGCAGTTAGGACCGTTTTAAATATTTGAGAGGCCCTGTTCTAATTTAACCTTAGAGAATAGGCACTAATAAAATACAACTTTATTTAAAATACTATCATGTTTTTAATTATTATGATATTCACCAATAAAATAATATCCCAATTATTCTACTCCCTCCATTTAATATTAAATGTAATATTAGGGAATTCACAAAGTTTAAGAAAAAGGGTGGGGCTCAAAACAGCATTTTTTATAATATAAAATTATAAAGCATTGTTGGTAAGAAAGAGAAATAATAAAAAAAAGTAATATAAGTGGGGTTAGTAAGAAAGAGAAATATTGTACTAAAATATTCGTGAAAGTGAGGTTAGTAGGAGAGATAAATTATAAAATAATGGTGAATCTTTGCCAAAATAGTAGTGTCGCAATTATTATGAAACGACTGAAAATAAAAAGTATTGCATTTAATATGAGCATTTTTGTAAAGTAAATTCATCAAAAACCCATTGTCTCACTCCGTAACTCACAGTTAGGGAGTAGTTTCAGCATTTCTCTTAATTCCTTCTTTAAAAACTGGCAAATTGGCAAGCACATAACGAATTTAAACATCTGTAATTCTTACTCAAAATTAATTTGAGTATTAATATTATTGGTTATTGAAGAAAATATGAGATTGGGTGGAAATTTGTAGGGGTTGAAAATTAAGCCATTTGATAAACGAAAATTAAGTGAGCTCACTAAGGAAAACATCAAGTTAATTCCTTCATTGGAAGTGATTCAAGGATCGAGAATATACTCCTCATAATTTTTGACTCATAGAGGAAGGCAAGAAATTACTAGGACAGTTGAATTATTTGGGTAAAACAAAAGAATATATATATTGATTGGTGACACATTAGAAATGAGTAATGGACTAATGACACATTAGAAATGAGTAATGGACTAATGACACATTAGAAATGAATGGAGGAAGATGGAACGTTTAGAATTTGTAAGGAGATTGAAACATTGATTGGTGTTATTTACGGTTAGAAGAATCTGCATTTAATTGGATGGGAAATGAATGATTTGGAGAAAAAGGAAGGTTTGAGCGTGAGAAATATGTCAAACATATGAGTATTAAGACAAACTTTATGTTTTAGTTAATAGTTGGGCTCTTGATGAATTGGGCACTTAAAATTTCAAGACCGTGTGCTAAGGGTTTGTTTGCACATACCCTTAACCGCTTTGCTTACGAGTTGATTTAAAATATTTGACTCAAATTTGTATATTTTTTTTATATATTTTTTTAATTAGCTAGGATGAGATTTCGATTCCACGGATTATTACCCTCATTGGTATTCTTTTGTGCCAATGGTTATTTAGGGAAACAGAGCTTTCAAGCCAAATCACCTATTACTAAGCTAATTACCTTGCAAGATGTGGGTATACTGGACAATTGGACATACACTACTCCTCTATCGTAGACAGTGGTTTACATTTGTCTAGATTTTATGAGGTCCACTTAAGGAAAAATCAAATTGGGACCGACTTGGTTGAAATACTAATATATGGCTCTTGGTTCAGAGACACACAAAAGCAAGGAATGGATTAGTGCCTTGCATTGATAATGAAAATTCTCCAGACTATAGGATTATTGGCAGTAGTAATTACGGGTTATGTGCTTTAGCGTTGCCTTTTGAAGCTTTAGCTTGTCTTAATGGGCTACAATGGGCTTCAAATTCTAACATCTAATCGCCTATTATATTTACTTATTCGTATAATCTTATTACTTTCTTTAGGGTGATGGTCAAGGAGACATCAATTATATTTGGATCATATAACCGATTAAGCGACTAGCTAGGATTAACGTTTCAATATTGTAACATACTTAAGGTTGATAAACAACATGTTCATTCGGCTTACCAAATTGTTGGAAAAGCTGCAATACATTTTATTTTCTATAATGAGAATGTGTAATCTTCTTAAAACTTTGTTTAAAAATTACACATGACATATATATATATATATATATATATATATATATATATATATATATATATATATATATATATATATATATATATATATTGTTGTAAAATAAGATGTTTTCAAGGCTACAAAAAGAAATTATAAGATCGAATAATTGATCTTATAATCAATGGAACAAATATGATCTGTCGTGATGCAAATCACTAACTTGAAAACGAAATTCCGACGCAACCGCGGTGCACAATTCTATTCGCCGGCACGTTCTCTAAGGTTAACACACCACTCTCATACAAAGGCACTTTTGGCTGAGAGGTTGGAGTCATATAAACTTATGCCCAAAACGAGGAATGTGTTTAGCTTAATGTGTTTTGATGTAATCTTGGAATCTGATTTTCTCAACCATGAAATATATAATGAAAGATGGATAATCAAGAGTTGAAGAATCCAAAGAGACAAAGCCTTAATAAGAAATTAAGGTGAGTGAAAACCCCTTAATCATATTATTAAGGAGGAGCTATATGGAGGTTACAAAAACAAAGAATCCAAGGAGAAGAAATGAAGAGGCGTAGCCAAGTGAGTCTCGCGTCCAGCAGGGCGAGATCCCGCCTGGTGGTGCGCCTGGCAGGGCGAGATCCCGCTCGATAGGGAAAACAAACGACCAAAATCAACTTTACTCTCGCGCCCCGTCGGGCGGTCACCGCCGGACATATCAAAAAACACTTGTTCTCGCACCCGGTTTGTAGGGTTTCGTAGTGACCCGTCACTACGCGGAAGGAAAACCCACCAAGACCCGCTCCTTAATTAAAGCAATTGAACAAGCCTAATAAACTTAATCAAACAAGATTAAGGACAACGATTATACCTTTGACGCGTGCTTCGCTCCCAAAGAGCACTTACTTCAAAATCCCGAAAAGACGAGATCTCCGACGGATCGTACCCTCGACCCGACCCGAGCGTCCTAAGTCTTGAAGGTTAGTCAAGACCCGGAAAAAATAACTATGAGTTTTACGAATCAAAGGTTTACTCTTTTCTTAGAGTTGCCTTTTTAATTCCACTCAAGGTTGTATTCTCAAAATCCCAACCAAGTGGGTATTTATAGAGAATGGGGACTTGAAACCCCTTTTCATGATCAATGTGGGATCATGTGCAAATGCTTTAATTTATTTAATTCCAAAATAAATAATTAAGCAAAAGCAATCACAAGGCAACAAGTGGCAAGACGGTAGAGAGAGTTAGGTGAGGACCAAGTGCCTTGGGGAGGACCATTGCCTTGCTCCCCAAGGCTTGGCTCTAAGCCTTGGTCCCCACTCCCTAAACCGCCTCAAGCATGCTGCTGGGCTGGCAACCAGCTGGCACTGCCAGCATGCCCAGCCAGCTAGCACCATCCCACTTCGCATCCCAGCCAGGCAGTGCTGCTTGGTGCTGGGCGATGTTTGGCGCTGGTGCGTGCCAGTGCTAGGCGCTGGTGCGTGCTGGCTCTGGCCCCAGCATCCCACGCACCACACGCTTTATCGCTGCACCATTCGCACATGCTTGCATGGCCAGCATGCGTGCTGCTAGCGAGCCACGCATGCTGGCCCCCTTTGCCTCGCCAGCCACTAGCACCATATGCATCATCCTCGCAGCACACGCACACCTTCGCACATCCAGCCACCTAGCACCACTCGCACATGCTCGCACAGTTGCGCGCATCCAAGCTAGCACGCACTAGCGCTATGCTTGGTGCGTGGCCTGCGATGGTGCCTAGCACACACGCAAGGCCAGTGCTCCCATGTGATGATCAGCGATGGTGCCCAGGCATCATGCTAGGGCTGTGACAGCGCCTAGGCATGATGCCAGGGCCTGCGATAGAGCGATGGGCTGCTTGGTGCGCCTGGTGCGCCTATTGCTTGCGATACGCTGCCAGGTGCTCCTGGTGCGCCTAGAGCTTGCGATAGGCTGCGATGGTGCACCTAGGTTGCGATGGTGCGCCTAGCACACCTAGTGTTCTTAGGCTTGCGCCTAGTCATGCACGCCTAGGCATGGTGCTAGGGCTGCGATGGCGCCTAGGCAACCATGCCTTGCCTAGCACACCATGGTGCGCCTAGCACACACATGGTGCACCTAGGCATGCTATGAGCTAGCCTAGCCTAGCTACGGCTACACTCATACTTGTTGCTTGTGATTTTGCGACGCTCGGTCTCGACGCCCTAGGCTCGATTTCCGACGTCTGTATTCGTAAAACTCTGTCGACTCATTAAATCCTTTTCGGATTAATTCGACGTCTCGGATCGGAGA